AAGGGAATTGATGTATAATGCTACCTAAATTTGTTTCCACGTATTAATTATTTTGGTGAATGCAAATAAATATTTGCAAGGAATGAGAAATTTTAATAAACACCTTAAAATACAAAATTGTTTATCATAAAGTTTTATTTGGATTTGAAAGCTTGTTTTAGCTAATGAAAGTCAATTTTTAGTGGCAGTTCGTCTTTTTTAGCTGGGCTTTTTTATGGGCCCAAATGACCTCAATTATCATCCACAACATTCAGTCCACTGTACAGGTTATAGTTATAAAATCCGACTATTGAGATTATAGTGCAGCCTATGTTAAAAATACTTTTAGGATTATACATAATTTTTTAAAAAATATTTTTATTTAAAAATATATCAAAATATTTTTCTTAAATTTTTTCTATTTTTAATATAAAGTATTACAACCATCAAATAATACTAAAACAAACATTAATTTCATGTTTTTTCAAACTAAACACTTTCAAAAAACACTCAAACTTTGTTCCAGATCATTTTTTACATCAACAGTTTTTCCCCCCCAAATCCATGATAAAATTAAGCAAATAACAAGTCTTCGTCACTTAAGGATCGTATGTCCAGTATTCTTCTACAGCATCCAATTCAGATATGCTCAGCCTGGTTGACCCTGCAGCATAGAAAAATAATGTAACTTGTTACTTGCTATTTGTTTTCATTTGAGAATTACTTTCCAGCCTAGTTTTAATGTTCATGCAGACTGCAGATTATTCACTCTGCAGACAAATCTTGTTCTTGGAAATAAAACAGAAGGCCAGTGTTTACCTGGGAAAAACTTATTTCACAGTACTGGCAACTACCAGTGAGGATCCAAACATGGATCAATTGCTGAAGAAAAAAGAAGAAGAAGAAGAGATAAATGAACAGATAGCAGAGATATAAAAGCATCACACTTAAATCGAGCAAAAAGAAAAGGAAAACTTACTTCCAGTTAGGGCTGTCCAACCAATCCTTTCCACATATCAAAGCCTCAGCTATCTCAGGACGAACACCGTCATGGACTGATGCCATCTTCATAACCTCTGATGACTTGGAAATGACAGTTGATACTGGAATTGCTAAGAAATCACGAGCCATTTTTCCCAGTATTGGAAAATTTCGAGCATTGTCTTGCCACCAAGCTAATACGTTACCATCCTTATCCAAGTTCTCCGGCGGCAGCTGTAGATACTGATCAAGCTCATTCCATTGTGAGTGCACCATGTTGCGTTCGTTCTTACCCTTGCGCCACTCTTTGAAACTAATATCAGATGATGTACAACGACTCACGCCAGCCATGGCAGAAGAAGATGGTCCCTGATTGCTGATGTCCTTGGCATATTTATGGTATGCACATGTAAGATCGTAATGGAATCTGGATAAGTGCAAGTCAGCATCACTGCCATATATCTGCCGGTAGCCATACTCAATAATGTCCAATTTATAGCTTGGGTCAAGAACTGCTGAGATTCCCAAAGCCAAGCTAGCTTCTCCCCAATACTCGTCAAATTTTCCCTTCATTCTATTTGCCATAGCGCGAACATATACATAATCGCTCTGTTTCCAGCCTTGCAAATTCTTATAAACATCATGAACACTGAGGAAATAACCATCTCTGCTTGTCGGAAAATTGCATGTTGACTTGTACAACTCTTTCAAGCACTCAAATACGGCTGTTGCTTTGTTCCATTCTCCCGCAGATGGATTCACTTTGAAATCATCATCCAATTGCTCTAGGTGATTAAAAGCTGTTATAAATTCCAATGAACTCTCCAGCATAAGAAAGGTGGTGTCCCATCTCGCAGGAACATCTAGAGGAGGCATTTCCCTGTCCTGCAAACTCCCATTATTAATTGCCTCCTGGAACCTCTGCCTTCTAAGAGAGCTTCCGTTGACGTACTCTATACATTCTCTTATCTTATAAAGCACACTCCTTATCTCAGAAAATCCATCTTGAGCAAGGAGACTGAGAATTTGGGCATAACTAGGAACACAGAAAAGATGTCCATGGATATGTGGGGCTTGATCAGAAACCTTACTTCTTAATTCTCCAATCATGTGATCCTTTGGAGGAGTTATATCCAGGAATATGAAGCGAATGTTCTTGTTGATGCTCCACTCTGTAAGCACACTTTTAAAGACTTCATGTACAGTCCCCATGTCATAGTTGTACCGTAAGTTCCTGAAAGCAAGAATCTTCTTCTTCAGCTGCCATCCATCATCAATGAAGTGCACGGTGAAGCAGCAGTAGGTCATCATTTTGTCAGTAGATGACCACAATTCAAGTGTTAAACTCAAGAGAGAAGAGAGCTTATCAAAAAAATTGATGAGTTTCTCCTTCTCTTGTCTGCAAATAGCAAGGACATCAGCTTCAACTACGTCTTTTGAATAAAGTTTAAACACTTGCTGAAAATTCTTCACAAAAAACTCATGTTGAACCATAGTCAGGGGATATCCATGCTTAATCATCATTGTCGCAATGTCTACACGACTTCTTTCTTGATCTATGACAAAATTCCTTTGGATGACGCTAGTACTCAAGTCACCTGTCTCAACCAAGATTTGCTGCTCTGCTTCATCCTGTCTGGTTGGCAAACATTTTTTTAAGTGCTTACGAAAATTTGAAGTTCCTCTTGTGGCTTCTGCTCTATACATCTTCTTACAGTATTTACATGTGGCCCATACTTCCCCATTTTCTTTCCTATGCTTAACGAATCCATCCCACACAGCTGATATCTTTCTTCGTTTATTAGTACTCTGGAGGCCACTAAGCGATGCATTCTCGCCATTCAGAGCAGGTGCAGGTATAGCAGATTGTTCTTGGACGTCCTGTCACGAGATAGGGAAGTAGGATGTTGGCAACATGAAAGCCAATTCTAGTCAATAATATTGGCAGATTGTCTTCTTCAACAGTTGAACATACAAGCAAAACGGAGGCAAAATGGATATTATTATATGCGGATTATCAAATGTAATTTATCTACTGAACAATAATTATTCCACCCCTCGCGCAATCTGCGGAAGGAAATCTTCCAATATAGACATGAATTCAGTATAGAAGAGCACCTGTTCAAGAGGCTCGCGTGTTTCTTCTGCTTGATTGCTGGTTGGGTTCACTGTCATGAATCCATTTCCTTGTAAAACATCATCGGATGATGGCAATTGAAAAACCCTAGAAACTGCTTCACGTGGGATGTTTGCCATTCTTTCATCATCCAATCTAACTTCAGAGCCACTCCCCTCATTTAGTTCTCTGAACCAAACTTTCCACAACTTTAAACATTTCCTCTGCAAAGTACGCAAGACCTTATTTATCAAAAGTTCTCGTGCTGAAGTATCTTTCATGAATCTAGGGAGAAGAAATTCCAACACGTAATCATCCTTGCAAGGGTGGGTACTTGTTAGCCTTATAGCAAAAGCAGCATACTGGATTCTGATGTGCCAGCTAATTCCCTCACTTGTATCAGGGAATTCAGCTGGATCAAGCACGGAAATGTCATGCTGGATATGAATATTAGATTGAAGTGCTTTTCCGGCGATACCTTGTCCTTCCTCGAGACGATGTTGTGCATATTCATCCACAAATTCATCCAGTGACCAATCATTTACATAGCGAGCGCTATCATCAATACATAGAATACGTTTTCCCTTTGAATTTGTATTACCATCTTGGCCATAGGAAATCCATGTCACAGCCAGTGGTAACTTATGTAGATGACATGTATATTCCAATATGTCAAATAACTTAGCTGAAGCAGCTATTCGATTCATTGAAGAGCCCTGTGAGATCAACGACACCAATAATGGCATAAAGATAAAAAAAAAAAAAGTATATCACAAATCCTGTGGATCAAACTCTTTTAAATTGATTTTTTTGCCATTTATCAAAGCAAGAATTATATTGTAAGTTTCTAATTCATGTCTAAGGAATTTGAAGTTGTTGCAATCTCCTAGATACTGATCAAGCTCATTCCATTGTGAGTGCTCCATGTTGCGTTCATACTTACCCTTGCGCCACTCTTTGAAACTAATATGAGATGATGTACAACGACTCACGTCAGCCATGGCAGAAGAAGATGGTCCCTGATTGCTGATGTCCTTTGCATATTTATGGTATGCACATTAAATTAACATAAATAGGAGGCAAAAACACCAGCCACAAGTAACATTATTTTGATTGTTTCGTACATTTAAACATCATGCATTAATTTATTTTTCTAATTTGATGATCATGAGAAAGAATCACTCTGTGGCGTCCTGATATTGTGTGATTCTGTTAACAAATCAAATGAAGTTCAAGAATATGGAGAGAGTACAACATCCATGTCTTTGTCAGCATTCTCGATCATAGTTTGTGCTGGCACCACCTGCATTACGTGAAGAAGCCAAGACAGTTAGCAGATTTGCAACATAAACTGGAATTGAAAGGTTCTGAGGACATTGAAAATTCAGATATGGGTCTTGAATACTAAATTAAAGTGAAAATTCAGAAGGTCATGTCAAAGATGTCAGAAACCTTTTTTGGATCCACGAAGGAATTCTCGTCCATTACGTTAGAGGATGTGAGCGCACCTTTTGTTGATCCAGACAATCATGAGTATCCATCAATGGAAACTTTGAGATTCACTTCGCTGTTCCCAAAATTCACACTTGGAAAAGGATTCAAACTTGCAGCATTGACCAAAAAAAGGATAAAAACTTAAAATTGGTGTTTAGGCCATGATCCCTGCAAGCTATGCTGGTATTAGCATACCTTTATTTTCAGGTAAGTTTGAATTTTGCCAAGTAATTGCAGATGCAAAAAGTGTAGAGGAATTTGTCTGTAGCTTAGCGTCAGGAAGAGTTGCTCCACTTGACTCTCTGAAGAATTTTTGCACCCAGTAGCTCGGTGTTCCATAGTGATTTGATGAGTTGAAGACAATTGCATCTGGATTCCACCTTCATATAAAAGTTCCTTTCAGTGTCAGCACCCTGAAAAGAAAACGATATTCCTTGCCATGCATGCTTGAATTTTAAATAATTATTGAGGAATAGAATGAGATTGGACCTCCTATTATTGCAATTCACAAAAAAGCGGTGCACAGCTTGCCATCTACACAATACCACAGAAATGGCATCAAATAGAATGATAACTCACTATTTCAAAGGCGTTCTTTATTAATTTGTTCACGAAGGCACTAAAAATTTCAGACCCTTGATCACTGAATAGCACATTCAGAAATAACTTAAGATTGCTGGAACAAGTATCCGACGTAGCAGGATATGCCCATCCTTCGCTTCGATTCGATGATCATCAAAATTTAATCCAAAATCTATCTTCAACTTGTATACCAGTTGGGGAACTGGACAAAACCCAGCCTGAGACAGGCGATTTTTCCATTGAGCAAATGACTCAATCCGCTCGACCCGGTCAACGCCCTCACATGCCACCACATTCCCAATCTGTCGCCTGAAATACGTCTCCCATAACGATTTGGTAAAAGCTGCTTTCTCCAGTGACTCAAAAATAGTGGAGTAGTATTGGAATGATTGTTCGAGCCGCTCCGAAAGATCAGGACTGTTGAGATTGGCGTCTTGCTCGACAATTACCATGATGTCCACTTCCAAATCCTTCACTTTTGAAAGAACTTGCTCCATTGCCCCATCTTGTGCAAGCAATTTGTGGAGTGTAAAATTCCAATTCACAACCACAATCTCATCCTTCCTTTTCCTTCTGAGCTTGGAAATACAATTGACAATATCATCCGGACGATTGCATAACAATTGCCTCAATTCCAAATTTGTGCCCCCAAACTGCCGAGCCCTTTCCTGGTTTTTACGGAGACGGTCAGAGTGTTTTGACAATTTCGGTGTGATAGTGGTTATTAGGACTGATTGAAGGCCAACACACTGCTCTTTGAGCTCTTTAATTAAGGAATTCCACCACCAAAAATCGAACATGATGGAGAAGTCAATAATGTGGAGTCGTTTATATCCCGAATTCAAGGCATCAGCAATGGCATGTTTACTGGTGATTGTAGCAAACTCGTAGAAAGGTTCATACATGTATTCGAATGGTTCGCATAGCAAAGGTAGCGAGGGTAAAGTACAAGGAGGACGAATTCTATAGGCTCGCCGGACAAGAGCCTCAGCACAGTATTTGACAACGTTCCTCGTCCATATGCTCTCTTCTTTAGAAGGTAGAGATTGAATTTCTGCCAAAAGTGAATCTGCAAAATCCAAGCGACCACCTTCAATCGCCCTAGCACACACCATCAATATGCAAGACAGGGGAGAGGCCATTGAAGGCGACAAGATTTGATGAAGGGAATCGAAGCGAATGACTCTTTCACACTTCGTTTCTTATAGTCAACCCCGTTTGCTTCCGGCAAACGTTCCTTCGTGGAACCTGCAGTTCAATTTGAAGATAGGTTATTCAATTGGCCCTCCATTCCATTCAGATCTGTTCAATTTTCTTTAAAGGTCTGAATTAAAGTAGCTTTTAGTGGACATGTGTTGCAATCTTGGAAGGGCATGTGTTGAGATGGCTTGTTTGGTTCTTAGAAATAAAAGGAAAAATCTTATAGAATCCTGATGGAGGGACCCATTGATTGAAATGGTATTCTTGTTTCCTTGCTTTTATATGCCCATGATTGTGAAGTAAATAACTTGAGTATCAATTTCTTTTTAATTCTTAAAAACACTCAACTTCGCGATAACATATTTTTTACATTAGAAACAACCTAGGAGGCTGCAGCTAACTATCATCCAGTAACAATCTGCCACGTAGCTGAAGTTGATAGGACTCAGATTAATAATGTTTAAAAAATAAATCTAAAATCTAACTAATTAAATTACATCCTGTCTCAAATCTTTTATCCATGGGCCGGATCTTGAGCAATTATGTCAGCAGAGAGTTTTATGGGCCATCAACAGTTAAGCCTAGGCCCGGCCTATTAGAATTCATTTGCCCGTTAATCTCGTGGCTGCCGACCACGTGTTTTTAGGATGAATAACCTAATCGTTTAATTTGTTAATAAAACAATGCAGTCCCTTCTATATGATTATTATTCACAATTATTTTTTTGTTGAATTAGATTTAACAGCTATAATAGCAGCCTGGAAGGATTAAGGTGTGGTCAGAAATAGAAAACAACTTCTTTTTAGTTTTCTTCGGAAAATGAAAAGTTTAAAAAAACATGCTCATTTTTGTTAACAAAAATGTATTTTTCCAAAAATAAATCAAGAATACAAGTAGTTTTTATAAAAAATAAAAATAAAAATCATAATTTATAATTACTATCTTAATATTTTATATTTTTTTGATAATCTAATTATAGAATAATAATTTTATTTTATTCAAATTAAAAATTATAATTAAAGATTTATATTATTAACTTATAAAATCTTTATATTAGATTTATAATAAAAATTATATTAATAGTAATCACTAAATATATATAAGAAATAAATTAATCTCTTACAATCATAAATGGCCAGCCTGCATCCCTTTGTACACATGATCTCAATCATCCTATGCAAATCAAAATTATATCAAAACTCTTCTTTCATATCCCACTTGCCTAGTTGCTAATCATAAAACTTACTGAACACTAAGATCTAAAGTTCTTTTCCGGGTAACATACCATTAATATATCACCCAAATCCATAAACAGATCAAAAGATCAAACAAACAAGCATAAACAAAACAAAACGCAATGACATCACACCCATATTCTTTTGTTTTTATTTGTAAAAGTGGGTTCTATGATATTTTGAAAAGAACTAGCATGAATACATGGATACACATAAAAAGAACTAGCATGAATATATAACCTAGAATAGGTGAATGCCAGTCCTAAAGATTAACAACTACATGAAACAAAAGAAAGTGAATATTGTTAAAACTGTGACAGGATTGAACCAAGAGAAGTCATGTAATATTTGCACCAACAACTAGCAGCGCTGGGTACGGAAAATTTACATCACCTTTTCACCTTGACAACGTTCAGATTCACCGAGCAACCTCTTCAAACCAAGATTGTCGTCTTTAGACAAAAGATCTGCTGCCAAGGTTCTGGTCAGGGCATCTGCAGAGAATCCTCTATCAAACATTTCCTGAAAAAGTTGTTCAGCCCTTGATGCACTGTTGTTCTGGAGAAATCCTCGGACAACAACATTGTAAGAGCAACAATCTGGTGGGCAGCCATCCCTTTCCATTTACGTTCAGATTCACCGAGCAACCTCTTCAAACCAAGATTGTCATCTTTAGACAAAAGATCTGCTGCCAAGGTTCTGGTCAGGGCATCTGCAGAGAGTCCTCTATCAAACATTTCCTGAAAAAGTTGTTCTGCCCATGCACGGTTGTTCTTGAGAAATCCTCGGACAATAACATTATAAGAACAACCATATGCATGGTGGGCAGCCATCCCTTTCCATTTCTCTGAAAGCTTTGTATGCTTCATCTAGCAATCCTTCTCTGCAAAGTCCGCTGATAATTGAAGTCCAACTTCGAACATCAGGCAGCAATCCTTTGACATGGAGTTTCAAAAACAGCTCCCTTGCATCTTCAAGCTTCCCAGATTTGCACATGGCATCAATTAAGATATTATAGATCACCAAATCAGGGTTCAAGTAATTATTTTGCATTTCTCGAAATAGTTCCAATGCCTGATCAAGGTAACCTTGTTTGCTTAAGCCATCAAGCAAAATTGAGTAAGTTACTAGATCTGGGGAGCAGCCCTGGGCATGCATATCCTTGAAAAGCTCTTTTGCTTCCAAAATCCTCCCAACTTGAAACAAGCCACTAATAAGAGTGTTGTAACTGGCAGTGTTTGGAATTAAGCCTCGAAAACTCATTTCATCAAAAAGCTGTTTTGCCTCATCTATCCTCAGGGCCTTACAAGATCCATTGATTAAGATGTTGTAACTAAGAACATTAGGCATGCAGCCCTGACCATGCATATTCTTGAAAAGCTCTTTTGCTTCAAAAATTCTCCCTGCTTGAGACAAACCACGTTATAAGAATGTTGTGAGTAGCAGTGTTTGGAATTAAGCCTCGAAAACTCATTTCATCAAAAAATTATTTTCCCTCATCTATCCTCTAGCCCTTACAGCATCCATTGATTAAGATGTTGTAACTAAGAACGTCAGGTATACAGCCCTGAGCCCTTGGTTAGCATCGCATCGAATGCCTTTCTAGCTTCTAAAACTCTGTTTTGCAAAAGATATCCATTCATCAACAAACTATAAGTCACAGTATTAGGCTCCACACCCTTCTCAATCATTGTCTTGAATATTCGTTGAGCCTCTGAAATCTTGCCCTTTTTACAAAGTGTATCGACCAAAATGTTTATACAGCCCCTGGTTATCATTGCATCGAATACCTTTCTAGCTTCAAAAACTCTGTTTTGCAAAAGATATCCATTCATCAACAAACTATAAGTCACAGTATTAGGCTCCACACCCTTCTCAATCATTGTCTTGAATATTCGTTGAGCCTCTGAAATCTTGCCCTTTTTACAAAGTGTATCGACCAAAATGTTGAAGGTAACTACATCTGGCAAGATGTTGAAACTCATCATTTCATTGAACAATGCTGACGCCTCTTCCAGCTGGTCTGAATTGCATAGACCATGCATCAAGGAATTGTAAGTGTTGGAAAACTAGGAACAATCAGATATCAATTTACCCGGATCAGTCTATCCTTGCAAAGGCTATCAATAAGCGTACTGTATGTGACAACATTCGGTTGGCAACCTGCATTGTCCATTTTCTTGAGCAATCCAACAGCAACAGGGGTTTTACCAATCTTACACAAACCTTTTATAATCGTGGTATAAGTATGTAGATTAGGTTGATAGCCTCTTTCCACCATCTCATCAAAAAATTCCACAGCACGAGCAATTTTACCCTTAATACAAAGCCCGTTAATTAAAGTAGAAAAAACAATAACACTGGGTTCAAAACCAAGCTTAATGATTTTCCCCAAGACAGAAAACCCAAAATCCACACGTTGCAAGCGACAACTTATTCTCAGATTACAATAAGATTAAAAGAGAATTATTTGACAAAAACTCACAATACTGATAGCCCCGTTTTCTATCAAAATGGCTAGCTTCCACACCACCAATCTTCGATCTGACCGTTCAAAATGAAGAGTTACGTGTCTAAAAGTTGCTGTCAAAATCTCAGCCCAATCCAACAGTGAACGAGCTGGAAATCAAAGAAAGAACACAAGCTACTTTGTTGCCTCTTCTTCTTTCTCTCTCTCGGTTTTCTTCTCCTTTCATCTGTTTTTCAATTTTGCTGCTATAGTACCTGAGCCACATTAATTTTAATACTAAGAGACAGAAATTAATATGGTGGTCCCACCATCACATGGTGCGGGAGCACAAATAACAAATCTCCCCCTCACGCACCATGTGACAAATTTGTCATACTGGCAATCAACATGTAAAATTCAATTTAGAAGGCTCTGACAAGCCTACTTTCCTTTTGCAGAACTCAAACTTCTCTCTCGATAAAGTTTGATCATTATGTCTGACACGTTGTCATCAGTATGGATCTTCTCAATAATGAATGACTTCATTTCCATAGCATCCCAAATCTATTGATATCTAACCTCAATATGCTTTGATCGAGAGTGAAAAGTAGGATGCTTATTGAGATGGATTGTACTTTGACTATCACAGTGCAACACAAAGTTCTCTTGAACTAGGCCAAGTTCATGCAAGAACTTCTTCATCCATAACAACTATTTGTCTCCTTCATTAAAAGCAATGTATTCAGCCTCTATAGTGGATAATATAACACATTTTTGCAACCTTAATTACCATGAGACTGCTCCCCCTACAAACTTCATCAAGTATCCTGATATAGACTTTCTAGAATCAACATCACCAGCCATATCTGTATCTGTGTATCCATCCAACACAGGTTTATCATTACTAAAATATAAGCTGAAACTAGAAGTACCTTTGAGATACCTAAGTATCCATTTCACTGCTAACTAGTATTCTTTACTAGGATTGGAGAGGAACCAACTAACCACACCAATTGCATAAGCTATATTCGACCTTGTGCAAACCATGACATACATCAAGCTACCAACTGCGGATGCATAAAGAACCTTTTTCATCTCATCTTTTTCTTCATCACTTGAAGGATACTGCTTATAACTTAGTTTAAAGTGTCTTGCAAGTGGAGAACAAACAGGTTTGAAGTTGCTCATGTTGAATCTCCGAAATATCTTTTGAATATATCTCTCTTGAGATAACCAAAGTTTCCCTTTTTTCCTGTCACGTGTGATCTTCATGCCAAAAATCTGTTTTATCGGTCCTAAGTCTTTTATTGCAAAAGACTTGTTGAACTCTTCCTTCAACATCTGAATCTTCTTAGCATCATGGCCAACAATCAACATATCATCCACATACAATAAGAGAATAATAAAGTTTCAATCTGAAAACCTTTTTATAAATACACAATGATTAGAAGTGGTCCTATCATAACCATGATCCACCATGAAACAATCAAACTTCTTGTACCATTATCTTGGAGCTTGCTTTAACCCATATAGGTTATTTTTCAACTTGCAAACTAATTGTTCTTTACCTTTTACTTTAAACCCTTCAAGCTGCTCCATATAGATTACCTCATCTAAATCATCATAGAGAAAGGCAGTTTTCATATCAAGTTGTTCAACTTCAAGATTCAAACTAGCAGCTAAACCAAGCACAACTCGCATTAAAGACATCTTGACCACTAGTGAAAAGATTTCTTCAAAATCAATACCCTTCTTCTGACCAAAACCTTTCACAACCAGTCTTGCATTGTACCTTAGTTGTGAGCAATGTTCATCAATTTTCAACCTAAACACCCTTTTGTTATTGACTGCTCTCTTACCTTTAGGAAGCTTCACTAACTCAAAAGTGTGGTTTTCATGCATGGATTTCATCTCTTCTTGCATTGCTTTCAACCACTTACTTTTGTTTTTATGTGACATAATTTCATTAAAGTATTCTAGCTCTCCCCCATCAGTGACCAACATATACTCATGAGGAGAATATCTAGTGGAAGGTTGGCGAAGTCTAGTTGACCTTCTCAATTGTGGCTTATCCGAAGCTTCTTGCATAACTTGTTCAGGAATAACATCAATATCATCATTAG